GAGGTCTGTGAATGTAAATGAATTCTTTATGTGTAAACCACAAAATTATTATAGCTCACAAAATATACATAAATAAATTAAAAATGAGTGATGCGGTCGTTCCTACTCTCACCTATGGTCATGAGCTCTGGGTAATGACCAAAAGGACAAGATCGCGGATACAATCGCTCGAAATGAGTTTCCTCCGCAGGGTGGCTGGGCGCTCCCTTAGAGATAGGGTGAGGAGCTCAGTCACACGGGAGGAGCTCGGAGTAGAGTCGCTGCTCCTCCACGTCGAAAGGAGCCAGCTGAGGTGGCTCGGGCATCTGTTCCGGATGCCTCCTGGGCGCCTCCCTCAGGAGGTGTTCCGGGCATGTCCCACCGGGAGGAGGCCCCGGGGAAGACCCAGGACACGCTGGAGGGACTGTGTCTCTCGGCTGGCCTGGGAACGCCTCAGGGTCCCCCCGGAGGAGCTGGAGGACGTGTATGGGGTGAAGGAAGTCTGGGAGTCCCTGCTTAGGCTGCTGCCCCCGTGACCCTGCCCCAGATAAGCGGACGAAAATGGATGGATGGATGGAAATTAAAAATGTGTATTTGTGCTCTGAACACTGCACTGTCTATAGTAAAACAAAACAAAAAAACCACCACCAACAACAACCAAAAAACAAGCATGTAACAAACCATGGGCAGCAAATACCACTTGATGTGTTATTTGCATTTATATAAAATTTTATTTTATTTTTTTCAGTAAATGCTTATTGTTATTAAACAAGACACAAGGAACAAGAATATATCAATAACTCATGTTGAAATATACAACTAGAACAGTTATTTGCCAATTAAATGTTTATTTGACATTCATTGTGATGTTTGGGAGAAAGCACCACAGTCCTAGATCTTCTGAACTCTCTCTGGCCTCCACCTCCGGTTGGTGAAGTTGGTTTTCATCTCTCCTGACATCTGCACATCCATCTCCAGGGTCCCTTCAGTCTATTCAGACTCAGAATCCTGAAGATCTTTCAGTGCTGTTGGTTGGTTGTCATCTTGCTGTCAAGTCAGTTGTTAGGTTTTTATCCAGTAAGGTAAATTTGGTCTTCTTATAATTTATTCTAACGTATTCTTTATTTCAGACTAAAGTTTAGTTTGTAAACTAGGTGTTTACAAAAAAAATACCCCTATTAAATTTCAGTTAGTAGCAGTAGTTTGGTAAGTTAAAGTCTGAAAGTCAAAAAGAACATCTTGAAAGGCGTTATATGAATGCAAAGATTAATAAATTGATTATTTAATTAATAAATAAATAAATAGCTTAATAAATCAATAAATAAATTAATAAAAAGTCTGAAAGTCAAAAAGTCTGAAAAAAAAAAAAAATCAGTTAGGTTTTGGTGTGTACTATAGGTGATGGAACCATTGCCAAAATAACAAATGGTTGAAAACATTGATGTAACAGAGTTAGAATCATCTTCAACAACATCTGTGGACTGGTGATTCAGAACTTCAGCCTTTTTTTTTTAGATGGCTTCTTCTTTCCCATTTGCCTTTGTCTTGTGCATTTGAAGGGTTGTCACTGTATCATATATATATATATATATATATACATACATACATACATACATACATACATACACACACACACACACACACACACACACACACACACACACACATATATATATATATATATATATATATATACAGTGCAAGACACTATTCTCACTAGTGTCTTGCATATATATATATTCTTGCTTATATATATTCAGGGCCATTCTCCCTTCTTCCTCCTCTTGAAAAGACGATGTACAGCGCCGGGTACAGTAGCTCCAGCGACGATGGGAGAACCTCCTGATGCCACATAACAGATGGCACACTGTCTTGCTAGAAGACTACCTGATACTAGTGTCTTGCACCATTTACAAATGGAGAAGGACAGAAGGACAGGGCCAGAGGCAGCAGAATCAGCGTCCTCAGTGGCAATGTGATCTGGCCTATCTTCACTGGTGTTTGGCTCGTCATTATTAAAAATGGGAATTTTTGGCTCCTCTTTTAACTCTGGAGGTTGCTCTGAGACCAGATGTTGACTATTGCTTATCTCTGGTTTCAGAGGAGCTAAAAGAGGCTCTACCAGTTCAGCCAAATTGAGTTCAGTGATTGCTGTGCTATCTGTCTCATGTGATATGATGTTGCTAATTAGAATATTTTGAGCAGATAGCACAGTTGGAATTGTCTGGAACATTGTCTGAGGACTCTGCCGATTGACGTTCCTCTTTGACTGTTATTGTAGGCTCCAAAGATGTTTGAGGCACCATTAGTCAAATCTTCATGGTCATCTGGAGGAAGTATACTGTCAGTGACCATCTCAAATTCACGTACTATCCTGGTGTCTTGTGCTGAAGGGTTTTCATTCTCTGTGTTTTCAGGTCCCAGGGGTGCATTTTCTTTTATCAACTCCACGTCATTAACCTGGTGATCAGCTTCATCATTCATCTCCAACGCGATATACGCACGGAACAGACTCACCATCAGTAGCACATCCTCTGTCACAGAAAGAACACATATAATCCACTGATTCCTGTCCTTTAGTCTGACAGAAGCTGAACACATCAGTGACACAAAGAGCGCTTTAAGTTTATGCAAATAGCCATGCGGTCAAAGTAACGTTAAACATATTATTACTTATTATGTCTATTTGAGACCTCCTTGTACAAAATAAATATCCAAACTTATCCACCCGTAGAAAACCTGCTTCTGTGCTCCAGCATCATTTTATCTCGTGTCTCAGTCTCATCAGCTGTGAAAGAAGATGAATCTGCCCATGTAACATTAAACGTTCTGTTTTCTTCAGAAACTTTTCTTTTCTTGGATTTATCCATCATTTACTGACCAGGGGTCGAAAAGCTCAAAAAATCTTGCTGCTGGTAAATTGGGTTGCCAGATCTGTGCCAGGCACATTGGCGGCTTTGACGCATGTTTTGAGTGACAAAAACATTAAAAACTTTTTAAAAATGTTACAAGATTACCATTATCTACAAATTTAGAATTACATTTAAAACCGAAAAACCTAAATAAAAATACAATGTAATTAAATATGTTATAAAATTATTTATTTTCCAAAGTTACAGGGAGCCACAACAGAAGGACGTAAGAGCCGCATGCGGTTCCGGAGCCGCGGATTTCCGACCCCTGATCGAGGCAAGTGGATCCAATTTTGAATTAAAAGTGTATTGTGTATTCACCTTTAACATCTGTATTATAAGTATACATGAATCTAGTCCACATCATGTACATTTCACATATTTTTCTTATTTAAGCTCGAAAAAGAGTGGGAAGAAGTAAAGGTATTAAATCCCACCACTGTCTTCTGTAGGGTGACCAAATGAGATTGGGTGAAATTAGGGAGGTGTTTTTATTTTTGTATGATTGCAGCTGACAAGTTTACCTGTAACTGAATCTCCTTTGGTCTTAATTCCATCGCAGTCAGGCGGTGGATATGATTGTTGGAGGGTCACACAGTGGAACACGGCAGTCAGCTCAGCAGCAGCAGTTTCATTGTACATGGAATCATCCTGTTTCTTAAAGAAGGACGAGATCAGTGTGTTGGTCTGTGCTGTCGCGGTGTGGGTACAGTGTAATTTGCTGTTATCATGTATCTAACATCTGCCTCCTCCGTGAGAAACACCAAACTCTTTTCTAGATACTTTTCTACAGCATGCTTTTATTTTATGGCTTAAGGCTTTGGTAATCCACAGGTCCTTCCCCACCCACTCCTCCCCATACCTGCACTAATGCAAATTGCTTTTCAGCGGCATGTTGGGGTTCTGGTAAACCAGCCATGTCAAAAGAATGAAAATGAGCTTACTGTCAGTGTGTATTCTCGCCTAATTGTAGAACGTCAAAAATAAACAACATAGCCAACTCAACCTCTTTACCAACAGTTTAATGTTTATCAGAAAATAACTACTCAGTACCAAATGGCTCTCTAGCACCCTCTTAAACTTAAACTTTTTTAATTCAGAGGACACAAACTGTCATGGACTTGTGGAAAAAATCACAGCGAACTTGTTTGAGACGGGGTACAACGTGACAGAGTCGAATAACTTTAAGAATCAGAAAAATAATGAGTGAAATTGTTTGTTCCATTATTATTAGGCCCAAGTCAAGGACAAAGTCTTGGCAAGAGATTAATTAAAAACAGAGCACGAATACAGGGCAAAAAGAGTGGACATGCCAGTGACCGGTATAAAAAATTTGAACTTGACGAGCTCTAAATTTGAGGCAAGAAAAAGGCCAAAAAAATAAAGAATTAAGACGACTGAGTAGCAGCAGAACCACCAGCCTCCATAGCTACCCCCTCTCCTCTTCTAATATACTTTACATCTCAATCTTTCATGTCTGTTGAAATGTAATATCTATAGTATATTTGCTCAATCTGTCTCTGTTCTCATCCCATGCATCTTTGTTACTAGGCAACCCCATCTTTCCACAGTGAAATCTATGGAGTTTAATGTCCCATTTAGCAGTATCATGTTTACATTTGGAACATTTGACACTATATTAAAAAGGACTATTCAGATCATTTACATAGTTTTGCACTTTGTTTTTGAGCAGTAGCAAATATTTCAGATTTAGATATATATAAGTAGTAGTTAGTAGTTGTTGTATAAGTAGTAGTTGTTTGATAAATTAGGCCTATAAATTTCCATTCCAAAATCTGGGCAAGTGCCAGATTTTCCCACTGATTAGGCTTACATTGTACTTTTTCATGAAATATCGAAAACTTAATTTTACAAATGTTTAACCTGATGATTTGTACAAGTGATTAGACCCATTAACAAAATATTGCATTTTAACAATATTCCTTTTAGCTGACCCCATATGGTCCTATTGAATGTTGTGGTGTCATCTGAAACCCAGCAATTTCTGCTGATTCCTATAAATCCATAAAAACATCTTTCAATATCGCTTATTTTTAACACCTCCAGATCGGTAGACGGCGGTGTAAAACAATTTTTCTTGCAGTGGGTTGACGGAGGCGAAGAAGCGCAGCGGTGAAAGGTGAAGAAGCACAAACATGGTGGAACCCGGGGAGATCCGCGTGGTTCATAGGGGAGGCAGTAAATTAAACTTTAGGCAGCCTGTCTTCACGCACGACTCACGGTATGGGTCCCTTTTATACTCATGCATTTGTATTTTAACAGAGATAAATTGTTCAATTGTTTTACCCCTGTAATAGTCCCGAAAGCTAGCATTATTAGCATGTAGCATTAGCGGCGTGAGCGCTGTTTACATGTTGTGGCTGCACGTCCCATCGTTTTAACATGGGTAAGATGGCTAACATACTTTCGAGGTAGACATTCAGTAGGGGTAAGAGATATTGACAAAAATATTCAGTTGATTGCGACAGCTAAAATTAATATGGTTAAAGTACAAAAATATGTTGTTATATAATAAATTCTTGAGTCTTGTCACTTATAGAAATACTCATATTCAACATTTGTGAATTTACCTTTTGGATATTTCATGGCAAAGTACAATGTAATGAATAGGGAAAACGGGATCTTACCCCCATCTGAGAGTACGACATTATCACATTCTAGAATCTGAAAACCACCAATTGTAATCGAAAATACAATTGATTGCCTCATGTTCAGAACCATGTGTGCTCGTTCTGCTTCTCACAACCTAAAAATAAATAACATAGCATCTAAAACAAATAGCCACAAAACATAAAGTATTTTGGGTCTTTACTCTCTCTACAGGTAACTTTAGCATAGAAGCATAGAGCATAGAGGACAGAAGTTCAAGTAATCTTTTGCCATAATTATTATTTCAATTATGAGCAAAAAACAAACAAAAAAAAGGTTTTGCCATAACCAAGCAGCCCTTTGTACTAAACAAGTGTTATTGTGGGCCAGGTTCTTGTTGTGTGCATCTGGATATGGAGTGAAAGTTTTCAGTGCCTCCACAGAGGAGTGTGTCCATCACCTCGTTGGACACACGGACCTCGTCACTGGACTCATAATACGACCCTCAAACCACTTGCAGGTAAAAATCTTAAACGAATAAAAAAACATTTTCCATTTCAAGTTGTAAGATTTTTTTTCCCTCTGTTGTGTCAAAATGACAAACAACATTGTTTTTAAAAATAGAATTATAATTATGAATGAGTAACTTTGTTAAATTGTTGTCACTTACACATTTTGCTCCTGCAGGTCTTTTCTTGCTCACTAGATGGTACTGTCAGACTGTGGGACTATGATGATGGCATTCTTATAAAGGTAAAATCAACATTAGGCTTTTGTTTATTGTATGTTCTGTTGTGATTCCTATTAAATGTATACTCATGGTGAAGTACACATAAGGAATCAAACTGAGAGAGAGAGACACCTACCTTTCTTAACATTTTAAATTCTGAATTTCTTCCAGACTTTTGTGATTGGATATCCAATTCACTCAGTATATGCATCGGGAAGCCATGATGGAGTCCTGTTTCTCACTATACCAGCCAAGAATGACAAGAGATCAGGTAAGTTTCACTTGTTTTTGCTTGAGATGATCTAGTGCTGGTTTAGCCCAGGTTTAGTTCTGTTTTAGTCCTAATCTAGTCCAGGTTGTTTTCCCAGTTGAGATATCTGTCAGTATAAAAAATATGGAGACTCCATTCTGGACTTGACAAGGCAAAGTTCAATAAAAATTTTAATGTGCATAATTGTGAACACAGTCTTAAACACATTATTTGACTCAATATAGGCATATTTTTTTCATACAATTTCTTTTATGTTCACAGATGCATTTCAGTTGGTTGCCGTGCAGTTGCCTCAGAGCACGGAGCAGTTGGTCGAAGCGCGGGAGATTTCTGCTGTTCTCACTGACGTCAGCTCAAACCCTGGGGCACTCAGCTTTGGACGAGCGGTACGAACACAAAGATAGACAAGGGACCAAATTCTTGTCTATTGATAATTTGAGAGAGTATTAAGTTAAGACCACATTATTTTATGGAGAAATTTAGTTAGAGGATCTGGGAATTCTTTAAAGTGAGCTGGATAAAAAATAAAAAAAAATCACAAAATGTAAAGTATTTTTTCATAAAATATTTTAACTGTTAATATGCCATTAGGTTTTGCTTTACTCTTCAGAATTAATTGCTATTGAATGGAAATCTCAATGGTTGCAGTTGGCAAATCCTGCAGTTATTTAAGAAAATAAAATCTCTGCAAGAAATGCATGCAATTAGTTTAGCATCTCATTTCAGTTTTCTTTCAACTCTTTGTTTCCTGGAATTTAAATGGTGAAAATGGGAACTTTGAACTAGGGATGGGCATTCGATGAAATTTTCTTAATCGATCGTCGAGAGAATTAACGATCGATTATCGATTAATCATTAACGTTTTTATATTAAAATGATCATCATTATTATTACTATCTGCACTCCTAATCTGCATAAATAAATTCAACTTTACGACAAAATAAACCCTAATGACTCTAGAGCCACATCAGCCCGTTTATTATAATGTGTTTAATTCAGTTTTGTGCAACTCTCACAGAAACGAAACTTAAAACCGCATCGCTAATTTGCATAAACTAAGCGAAGATAAAAACTACAGCTCTTGTGTTGCTGATTCGGTCAATTTCTGTCAGATTTAAAGACATGACTCAAAGGAATACAGGTTAGTGTGACCATATTTGCGTTTGTCAAAAGGGGGTGGGAGGTGGGGACTCGTCATCGACATTGCGCTGGCAAAGCTTTTTCCCACTGGACACCGAAACATATGTGCTGCTTTGTACACTGTGCACATGGCCTCACACTTGTCCCGACCGGAACGGAAAGTGTGCAATTTCTTGTACAAGTCATTGTTAATACGCATATGCACTTCGGTACGTTGCAGGCGAACTGACTGTTTGTGTTTGCTCGCTCCTTCTGAGTGCAGAGAGCTACATGTACGGACCCCTGTTTGGTCACGCTACGCACAGCAACCTGCATTCGGTTTGTCGATTAAAATTTACGTAATCGATGAAATTCTTAATGATCAATTATCGATTAATCGACTAATCATGCCCATCCCTACTTTGAACAGAATTGTACTATTAAAACATAAATTGTAATGGTGCCAATGCTTGTGATAAAAATCATTACAATATTTCTGCTTGTGTTTAAGTATGCCCAACTTTGTGGAATGATCCTTATTTTGTGGTTTTCTCTTCGTAGGGCCAATACATTGCTTCAGTTAATGGTCTGCAGTTAGAGGTTTTTTTCTTCAAAAAACAGAAATCATTCAGGTGAATAGTGACTTTTTTGTGTTTTGTAATTGTTATTTTTAAATTTCTTCTTATAATGTGCATAATTATTTTGCTATTGGAATGTTTTTTAATATCTAGAACTCTTAAAACATTGCCATTGCCATATGACATTACTAAAAATCATCACCCCTAAGATGTGTAAAACCACTGTACTTAATGAAATTCATAATCAGAAATGTGGCCTATTTTGAAGGTTTTCCCTCAAAGAAGACAACAAGAAGGGGGCTAAGAATACATTTACTTGTACTGCCTGTCATCCTAAAGAGGACTGCATCGCCACAGGACACGAGGATGGAAAAATACGCCTGTGGTAAGTGCATTCATGGTCTTGATCATTCAGACAAGAGGTACAAAAGACCCCAGCAAGTTTAACAAATAGTAAAGGAATTGAGTGAGTTATGGCTGAGCAACTGGGTTACAGAATTTACCTTATTGACAGTCAGGTACCCGACCTTTTAATATAACTTGTCTCTAGCTTTAACAAAACCTTTGGCACTTGATGTAAAAATTGTGTACCACTGTTTTAAATGCAACTGGTATGTAGGTACATTGGTAGGTCCTCTTATGGAACTCAACAGTGACTGGCCAACTTTCTTTTTTTTTGGTTGTTTTTTTTGTTTTTTGTTTTTTTTTTCGAAAGTATAGACTAGATTTAAAATGAAAGAAAATAAATAAATTAAATTAAATTGAGCAACCACACAGAGGAATTCAAGGCTTGCCACAATCCCAAAAACTAAATTATTTTTTTCTTTTTATTTCTTGCAGGAGAAATTTCAACCATAAGAAGGAGTACACTTATTCAGCTATTCACTGGCATCACAATGCAGTTGGTGCCTTAAGCTTTACCCCAGAAGGTAACATTCAACAACAAATTTATTCATTTTCAGCTTCTAGTTATATTAAACACTTTGAAGTATTTTTCCCCATGCCATTCCATTCCGAAAAAATCTGATATATTGTTTTAAATAGGGTTATGAGTATCAATCGGCTAATCATGACTAGTCAGCTATGAAAAATAAGTTGTATTTTGAGAATTGTTATTTGGACTGTACAGAATCTTTTCCATCAGTAATACACTTTATTTGTAAATAGTCTATTAGAAACCTCCAGTCACTATTTCAAAACATTTTGTTAATAATGTACTTAAATGGTCTAGGTGTACAAATAGAAATAATCATTTGACTTGATTAAAAAATGTATTGCAGACTAGTCAACTACTTAAAATAATCGTTGGTCACAGCCCAAGTTTTCAATTCAGCTGTTAAACACTATGGCAATTTCTCATCATTCTGAAACCAAGAGCTCATCAGGTTCCCATCTGTATATTTATGTATGTTTCTGCAGGGACTAATTTGCTGAGTGGAGGAGTGGAGTCTGTTCTAGTTCAGTGGAGGTACAACCAGGAAAGACAGAAGGACTTTTTACCACGTCTCGGCGCAGCCATCACCCACATTGCAGTGTCGCCTGATGGGTCCCTCTTCTGCACCTCCCACTCTGACAACAGTAAGAGCTTCAGAAGACATCATAACATTCTTAGGCCTATAATGTCCAATTGAGATGTGAGTATGGTTTTTAAAGTGGTACTGACTAAAAATGTTGGTATAGTGAACCTTCAAAGAAATATATTGAAGCATTATACATTGCTCAAAAAAATTAAACACAGGAACACTTTGAAAACACATCAGATGTGTCAGATGTTATTTCAATGTGAAAAAAAATGTGTTTGATATTTATACAAACTTGGACAGGGCAATTTCTTAGGAACAAAAGGATGCAACCACTTTTAATGAAAATGAACAACAGCTGCACTAGTGTGGGAGCAATGGGACAACCCCTTAAACCAGACTGGTTTTGCATGTGAAGGTCATTTCAAGTTTCTCCCTGTTGGTCTTTTTTTGTCTGGTTTTCCACTAGTACTGGATTTGGCTAGAGTGATTGTCACTACTGGGAGTATGAGGCCATTCCCTAACCTTACAGAAAATGAACCAAACTTCTCTAGGATGGCAAGGAGATTTAATGTGTCTCCCATCACCATCTCCAGAACATGGAGATTTCAGGAGACAAGCAGTTACTCTGGAGAGCTGGACAGGGCTGTAGAAGGTCCTCAGTCCATCAATTAGGCTCATATCTGCTCTTTTGTGCAAGGAGGAACAGGTTGAGCACCACCTGTGCCCTACAGAATGATCTCCAGCAGGCCACTGGTGTGACTGTCTGTGCCCGAACAATCAAACAAATTTCATGAGGGTGACTTGAGAGCGCCTCGTCCTGGGCCCCATGCTCACCACCCAACACCGTAGAGCTCCACTGGCATTTGCTAGATGAAACCAGAATTCACAAGTTTTCTACTGGTGTCCTGTGCTTGTCACAGATGAGAGCAGGTTCACCCTGAGCACCTGTGATAGATGTGGAAGAGTCTGGAGAAGACAAGGAGAACTACAACATGTCTACAACATGGTTTAGCATGAGCGTTTTGGTGGTGGGTCAGTGATAGTCTGGGGAGGCATATCCATGTAGGGACACCTCTACCTCTACTGGCTAGAAAATGGCAGTCTGACTGTCATTAAGTATCAGGATGAAGTCAGTCCTTGAACCCATTGTGAAACCCTACGTTGGTGCAGTAGGTTCCTCTTGATGCACAACAATGCCCCGGCCTCATGTCGCGAGGGATTGATACAATTAAATGACCCTGACGATCACTTGATTTAAGCCCTATAGAACTTGGGTCCATCAGACTCAGCCAGGTTGCTCCTCAGACTCTACAGGAGCTCAGTGATGCTCTTACACAGATCTGGGAGGACATCCCACAACACACCCTTTGTCGTCTTATTAGAAGCATGCCATGGCATTGTCAAACATTCATTCAAGCACATGGGGGCCACACAAGTTATTAAGTATTTTGAGTTGCAGAAATTCAATTTCGACAAAATGGACTAATCCGCCACATCATTATTTCACTTTGATTTTCAGTGTCTACAAAATTAAGCCCTCTGTAGGCTGAACAATGTATTTCCATTAAATCATGTGGAATCCTTGTGTTCTTATTGACATTGCCCTGTCCATATTTGTATAGATATATTTTTTCACATTGAGATCTGATGTGTTTTCAAAGTGTCCCATTCATTTTTTTGAGCAGTATATTTTACTTATTTTATATATTCATATATATTCTTGTGCGCGTGTGTTAAATATTGAAATTGAGTACTTGTTCAATTACCACTCCTGGATGAATGAGGAATTACATTACATAAAGAAATTACTACATACTGTACTGTGTGTATGTGACAAATAAACTTAACCCAAACAGTAAAATTATAATTAATGTTATCTTATCCTTAGATCCTGCTTTTGTTTTATTTGAGCTTTAGACCACTGCTGGTCAGTTCTGGTTTAAGGCCAACCCACATTAAAATGCAATTTTAACCCTCTTAAAAAGGCGTTAACACAACTCTTGCTGTGTTATAAATTAGCATTTTATCTGCAGATTACTTATAAATCTGCTGGTGCTGGTTTGAGAAGGTTATGAGTTTAGTAAGAGGCGAGAGAATCTCTGCACGGAGAGAAGGAAGAGAGGAGGCAGTGTTCTGCCGAGTTGAACACCGGGGCTTTTCCTGCCTCTACTGCAGGTCTCATGCCTCTCCACACAATTTACAGCTCCTTTTGTCAGTCACAGAGCAGAGGCATGTCTGTGCTCACCGCTGCAGTACAAAATGCATGCGTTTTCAGACACAGCGCGGGATCGAGCACCGTTGTACTCGGGTGTGTTGCCTCATAGAAAATAATGAAGGAGGCAATTTTGCTGAATGTTGATGTGTTCCGGTGTGCGTTGGCCTTTAGCCCTTGTAACAAGTTACTTTTAGTCCACTTTTAATGTATTTTGTATTTATTTATTTGCTTTGTTTCAAACAGTTAGGTGCAACCAAGGTACATTTTTTTTTTTGTAAAGACAGGGTGATAAGTATTAATTAAGTAAGTAATAATTTGATGAAGACTTGTTAAATGTTTTTCCTTGTTTGTTTGTTTTTTTCTCAGAAATCACTGTCATCCATAGTTATGTGAAAATTTCTGCTGTGATTCAAGGCCTAGTTAAAGGTAAGTTCAACTTCAAGATCAGTCTGTTACAATACTACAATTAATATATCGACTTATGGTTCAATAAATGATAAATGGTGGTAATAAAATCATATTTTTTTGTTTTGTTTTGTAGGTGACAGAGTAAGGACAGATTTGATAGTTGACCCTCGCAGCAAGGCTCTGGTGATGAATGGGAAACCAGGACATTTGCAGTTTTACTCCCTCCAAAGAGACAAACTCCTTTATAATGTAAGTACTGTTCACTGTATAAGAGGCCTGTATGGACTTGCTGTCATGCTTACCACTATGCTGTTTGTGTTGTGTTTAGAAGACAATGAAAATCTAAATAATATGCAGAAATACAGAATGTTTATTAAAATATTTATTAAGCACACTTGATCATCACCAAACAAATCATCTGGATTTTAGGTCCCTTTAGGGGAATTCAAAAGAATTCTTCAAAAGAACTGATACTCGGATACAAGTTGATACTAACACTGATTGAAAAGGACCTTTTTAAAAATTGTATTATTCAGCATTTTTAGGGGCTACAGGTGGCAATTGGCTTGTCCATGGATGTTACCTCATTAGGGTCTCTGAACTATAAAATTTTCTATTAAAGTTTCTAATCCTGTCTACTTCTTGTTCCAGTTGGACATAGTACAGCAGGAGTACATTCATGAGTCTGGTTTGGACCAGTTCGATGTGGTCAAAGCTGACTTCGATGCAGGTGGAAAGTGGCTGGCAACGGTGGAGGAAAGAAAACAGGATTCTGCTGAGCTCGAGCTGAATCTGAAACTGTGGGCATTTAACGAGCAGACGCAGGGGTATGCAGTCTCACTAGTTATAATAATGTTAAACCTGCATTAAAGAGTTTATAAGCACTTTTTACAGCTCTCAGAAACCAGTGCAAAGTTTTGCTGTGACGGTAGATCTAATTACAACTAGCAGACGTCTGGAGCGTTTTTTAGGTCATTAGGCATGTGTTATTGTGTGAACCCATATGAAACTGCATTGTTTGGTAAAATACGCACCGCGGTTGTTGTAGTTGGTGTTAAAAGTAATCTGCAAGTATGTGCCGAACCTGCCCTTCACTCACCAAAGAGTTTATGAGAGCTAGAAACAAGGGAGAGATTAAATTACCACCTTTTTCCTTTCACGATTTAAAAATCCGGTAACCCAACATTAAAGAGAGCTTCAGCACTCTCATTGTTACTGGTAAACTGTGTTTGTTAGAGTGTCCTGTCAATTTGCTTAATGTCTTTACTTACTCTTGACTCTGACACTTGTCCAAGAAAGCCAAAAATAATATCTTTTAAAAATATGCATTTCTCAAACAACCTTCAACTGTGAGTGGTTTCTTCTTCCATTATAAAACCTGCCAAACCATTTTGCACAGTGCAGTAGACATAAAAAAGTGTCTATTTAATCCATGGTCTTTTGAATCTTTTTTTCTTTAACCATAATAACTGTGTGGTTTGTTCACCTGCAGCTTTGAGCTGAACACAACAGTCTCTGCCCCCCATGAAGGCAAGATCTCAGACCTGAGCTTTAGTCCAGACCAGACCACCCTCCTCGTCTCCACCAGCAGAGACGGGCAATTCAAGGCCTGGACACTGGCTTCTCCCACAGATGCTGAGGGTAAGGAGGGTGCAGAAGGACAAAATGGTGTAAAATGAACACTCAGCTTTTGTTTGTTAGGTGAAAATGAATTGATTTAGTAGATCTTTAAATCCATTGTATGTTACCTTTGTGCCAAAAAAAGACTAAAAGTAAAGCTGCTTTTTTTTTTTATTATTATTATGGATGTTTTTATTGCACTGAAAAACAGAGAAACATGCAATCTTGCTGTGAACAAGCTTGCATCTCCACAAACATGTTCCACTTTTTAATATAGCACTTGCCTATCTTGGAGAATGTTCCAAACTATGGTTTTATCTTTCCATTTCCATGGAATCATGCAGGTGACTTTCCGCCTCCAAAAAGTTGCAAACTATCACTATCAAAATAAGGCCAACTTTAAAGGAAACCATTTCTATACCTCTCACCATTCCAAATGTTACTGTTATCGCAGTAGGACAATAATGTAACATGAGCATATGTGGTTTCACTTTCAAAAATGTGTTTGTCTTGATTTTTCTCTTACCAAATTGAGAATGGAAAAGGTCATCATAAGTGGTATTCCTTTATTTTATTCTCCAACTTGGAGAAATGCACTTTGACAGGGAGGGAGCTACCTGACTTAAACATAGTTTGCCTTTGAAATGAAAGCTTATAAATAAAAGATAATTTGCGAACTTATTCAGATAATTCTCTTCAACACTAAAGCTTTGATTTTGTTTAGCAATATTCCAGTAGGTTCTCAAATTTTCTTCTCTTAGACATGTCTAAAATGTCAGTTTGCACATAGTGGAATTAGTGTTTGTCAGAATTTTCCCCAAGTTGTTTGTTTGTTTCTAGAGAAGTTATAAAAGCTATAGTTAATACTCCTTTTTGCACTACACTCAAATCCAATAATTTCTTTCCACTTACTTTTGCATGCAGACTAATCTTATCTTTGACATTTATTACACTGTACTAATCCTTATTCCTCTTTCCCCCCTCTCAGATGAAAGTCCATCTTGGTCCTGTGATTTTGTGGGGTCTTACCATGGCTTGGCTCCACAGTGCTGCTGTTTTTCAGCCGATGGGTCTCTGTTGGCGGTGGGTTTTCAGGAGGTGGTCACTGTATGGAGCACTGCATCATGGGAACTCCTCACCACACTGTCCCAGCCCCCAGGAGACATCAGGTATAAGCAAAACACACAGCAATCAGCTATAAGATTGTAGGTGGATTATATTGTTATGTAATGTCACCCAGGCACAGAAAGAGCCAGTATATTTTCTACATATATAGGCCTGTCACAATAATTATTATATCGACTTATTGTTCAATATATGCTATCAACAACCTATTTTGGCCTCTCTCCATTGGCTCCCAGCGTGCTTTAGAGTTGAGTTCATAATTACTTTATTTACCTTTAAGTGTTTGCATGGCCTAGCGCCCTCCTACCTTGCCGACCTGATCCACCTTTACGGCACCCATTTTTTCACTGGATTTTATGTTTGTGTACAGCACTTCGGTCAGCTTTAAAGTATTTATTAAAGTGCTTTATAAATAAAGTTGGTAGGGCATATTTTTCAGGCTCAATATTTATTTTGCATGTACCCTTTTTTTCACACTCGTGATTTTTTTTTCCTTTTCTTTTCTTTTCTTAAAGTAGATCTATTAAGCAAAATCGACTTTTCAGAGCTTTTAACCAAGTTTCCTTTCTCATTATTCTCATCATTGTAGAATGATTTGTGCATGATTGAGCAGTCTTTAATTCACTTCACACATTGCCGGTCAGCCCCCGTTTTCAGCGGTATACAGCCATTGCTTTCTTCTTACTCCAGTAGTATTTTCAGTGAAATGAGTAGGATTCATTTTGCTACAAATGAAAAAAATCTGCTGCTTGCTGACATGATCAGCAGTCATCCATAGGAGTTGCTGACTCTTTGTTGGGATGGCGTTTACAGTGACGTCAGCTCCCACTGGTCACCTCTGTTTTCTGACTTGTTTCATTTATTAAGTTGTTTTAGATCAATATTTAAATTGTCCCAGTTATAACATAAAGTGTCGTATATTATAACTATATTGTAGGCTCAAGCACAGAGTGTACTTTAGTTTTATGTACTATTAGGTAGTAGTATATGTTGACATTTGATTCATAGATAATTAAGTACATTATAGATGCTAGAACTAACTGCTATAGTGTTTAATTTTACTATTTGATGATTACATTGTTTAATATGACTCACTTGGAAAAGGGTCTACAGTGATTATCCTGCTTTATCATGATATTTTCAGAATCAGTATATATCAGACATTGTTATCGTGACAGGCCTGTAATTATATTATCCTATTCACTGTCTTTTAAAAACGTAATACTTAATATCGTTATAGCAATCATTACACCTTGTTATAGATGCTTTGTGGTGATATCACGCCCAGGTTGTTCTGCCTATATGTTTATGATGAAATGCTCAGAAGTTTCCATAGTGACAGACAGAGCTGTGCCTGCAGTTGGCAACAGACACCCAAGAAATGTTGATGACATCAGCTGCAAACTATCAATATGTTGGCCAAATCAGCATTTCTAACTTGTGCATTTTGTTCAGTGGCTATAAAGCAATACTGATTCTAGGTCAATACTGATTCTTCTGTTCAGTGAAAACTGGAACAATTTTTTTTAGGCCTAGTATTTATGATGTGAACATTTTGCTTGCCATAGTGGGAAGATGGAATGGTTTCTTATTCAATAAAATAGAGCAAGTTCGAGTTTTCAGAACAAATTAGTTGATTATTTGTGTATTTACAAAGGGATTTGAAAAGGCAGCTTGTCTCCTTCATTGGGGAGACTTCTTTTTGTAACCTTTTCACTACATTGGCTCAAGTCCAGTATTTTGTGTGGATGATAGAAATCGTAGAGGTTGGGAAGAAGAGAAGGAAGAGAAGAGGTGGGAGAGTTAGGAGGGGAAAGAAGCAGGCAGGAGAAGAGGACAGTGTTGAAAAAGGGGGGAGAATGAGAGAGTAGGAAAAGAAGAGGAGGGTATAGAGGAGCAGATGGAGAGAGGGCAGAAAAAGAGGAACGGGAGAAAGAGAGGAGCAAAACTGAGAACGAAGCTGGATAGAAAGAGAAGAGGAGGAAGGTGAATGAAGAGAAGAACGGAAATGGTGGGAGAGAGTAGGGGAGACAAAGGAGGACAGGGAAGTGAAGAGATGGAAGAGGAGAGATGGGAGACAAGAAGAAATGAGAGGGGGCTTCCCAGTCACAAGAATGTTTTGCAATGCAGCTCATGTCCTACAAATGTTGGCAGAAGTCCCCTGCTTTTAAAATGGAGCAGTCTTGGGTCAAAGAGGACACAGACTCAAGTGTTACTGCAACATTCTGTGCCACTTTGTGTGCCACTTCCCATCAGGGCAAAGCTGCCACCCAAGCAAAAACGAAATCGGACTTGCAGAATATGACAGAATACAAGAAGTTTTTTTTTGTTGTTCTGATTATATTTTTAAGCATTTCTGTTCCTTGTTCTCTTTCAAGTCAGTTTAAGACCTGATTTAGTATTGTAGATGGACAGGAGATTATAATTGTTAGAATCATACACACTATAATAGACTTGTTTCCCGTTCTATAAAATACTTTTAATCCTGAGGGGAGAGCTGTTCTGTGTGAATGGTTAAATTCAGTACATCTGGCTGGAGATTGCTTTTAAGAGTTTTGTGTTTGAAGACTGCCTTGCAGATAGTTTGATGGGTTTGAGGAAAAAGCAGTTTATGGCTGTTATTCTAGTCACTCTAGTTGATCAGGCTAGTTAAAGGTGCCCTATATAACTCTTCTGGTGTTGGGGTCCAACACCCGCTTGTCTCCATGTCTCCATGATGTTTATTGCTTTGTTAGGAATGTTCCACTGTATGGAATAAAACTTGTCTAACTAATAGGTCCTTGTGTTAATTGCTATAAAATAACAATGATAAAAAACATGAATTGCTGTGAGCACTGTTGCTGCTCCATATATCTCACCTGTAACTTATTCTGGTAGTGTCCTGCTTGTCTCCATGGAGATAAATTAGTGTCATTGTGGCACATTTCTGACAAAGCAAAAACACCTACCAGACCCTCCACCGGAAAACTTGCATAGTTCTGCTTTATAGTTCTGGTTTAATCGAAGATTCATCCTTAAACCAAGCACTCCTCCAATAACTCCTTAAGTTTAGTCCATGATCAGTCCTAGTCTAATTTCCAATTGTAAATATTTAGTTCTGGTTTAGTTCTGTTGTTGGTCCAGTTTTTCCTCTTTTTCCGTAAGCCCAAGGTATGCAATGCATTATATCCCTTGAGTAGGTATTTTACTTTTGGTTCTCTGATATGCAGACATGCCGGAAATGTTGAATACAGCAATGTAATTTAGTGGGTGTAAAAACATGAGGGGCAAGAACAACATTATTGGTGAGATATTTTCACAGCTGCCCACTTTACAGTTGCGTAACTATCATCTATGGACAATGTCAAGTCAGGCCATAAAACCAGCCACAAAGACCAACTTAAAGCAAGACTAAGGGTGTTTAATGCTATACTATAGAACATTCTAGGCAAAGCAGTTACATCTCTATGGAAACAAGTAGCTGGAGGATCCCCAACCTGTAAAGTTAGAGTCACCCAGAAATATACAGCACTCCTTGTGAATATGAGGCGTTAGGATGTGTTGTGAATCTTTAAATGTATGAATAAAACTCATGTTTACTTTAAGGAAATTAGGGATTAATTTAAGTCTTGTTTTAAATAATACATAAAAATAGTTGTATGGGTTATTTCAACCAAGCAGATTAGTTGTATGTGAATATATTATATTGTTAAACTAATTTATAATCCATTCATCCATTTTCTTTTGCTTATCCGGGGCCAGGTCGCGGGGGCAGCAGTCTAAGTAGGGACTCCCAGACTTCCTGCACCCCAGACACGTCCTCCAGCTCCTCCTAAATGATATTTAGACTTATTGAAAGTATGATACAACTTTACTTTTGAAATCGTATTTTTTAGTTTACACTTATGCCAAAACTTGGTAATATATTCATTTTCCTCCCTTAAATCAATCTTTTTTATCCAATGGACTATATAGGGAGGAAAAAAGTAGTAGCCTTAGTGGTTCTTTGTGGGTGTTCAGACTAAATGAATGCTAACTGCCTCCGTCTGAAGTTTAAGCAAACCTAATCCTGTGAAATATGTCGTGTGAAGGGCTGCCTGGTTAACCTCATGAATGTACTCAATTGGTATTCACAGCAGCCAACTTTTTTTTTTCCTCTCTTCTTTTTTCCAGAAATCTTTGTTTTGGAAGACTGAGCTGCTCTAAGTATCTACTGGGGACCACCAGCAAAAACCAACTGTGCTGCTGGAACCTCCTCACCTGCTCTTGTAAGATATCTGCACTCATACTATAAATGCATATGTACTATAAAATGGCTTTCAGTATGAATTTCCTGAACATAAAGAAGACTCAATAATTGTGATTTTCAAACAAAAAAAATCATAACATTTCTTCCAAAGTTTGAACTGTTAGTAAAAGCATTTATTTTGTAGCAGCTGATTGGCCTTAGAACTCTCAATTGATTGACTATTGACTATTAGAAATGGCTCTCAGTCTCAATTTTGAGCCCGAGCATATATACAGTATTTTTTTTAAGATGGTGCTAGTCTAGAGGTATGACAACACTATTCTTTTTATAGGCTTTTGTATGAGTGAATGTCCCATTATGTTGAAATAGCACAATCATTAACCTCCTTGTTTTCTTCCTGTTTGGTCCTGAGCAGTGGAGTGGAGCACTTCCATGGATGTGACCCTGCTGTTGTCCGACCCGCTCTCAGAAAACATGGCCGCATTCTGCTTTGAGGCTGGAAGCACTGACTGTGAGTCTGTGGGACAACTGTAAAACAGTAATATCAGCGAGAACACGCTGCACGCACGCACGCACGCACAAGCGCACACGGTTTACACAAGGCACATTTTTACTATGGTGAAACCAAAATAAAACCTTTATTTGTCCCAGAATGAAAAAATAATTCCAGTCTTCAATTGACCCAGCGGTTTCTATTTGTGTATCGTCAAATGCTATGATAATATTGTGAGACATTTACTATTGATTTTAATTATTGTAACATCACTTCTGTTTGTGTTCCCTAGTATTTGTGTTTAAGCCCAGTGAGCCCCGCCCACTTTTTTCCCATAAGGCCGTGTGTTCGGGGCGGGTGCTCAGAGCAATCTTCAGTCCAAGAGAGGAGCTGTTGGAGGGCTGCGAGGAGGAGGTCCAGTGGCTCAACCGTTCACAACTCTTCTTCTTTACTCCCAACATGGTACACACTTGATCACATTTGATTCTTTGCTAAACATTCCTCCATAGACATAAATGAAGTACATCCCCAGCATGATATCACTAAAGTTACCATGGTGACACAATTCAGATTTGCAAACACTGCCAAAAAAAGATTTGAAATGGTCTGAAACTCTAGAAAAAAAATACAAAATGGAGAAACAGAACAGAAAAACAGTTGACTGATGTTAGCTTTTGACTGTAATGTTATTTGAGAGAGACTTGTTTAACAGCACAAAATCATCTCTCACCTGTTGTAGTTCCAGATCATAAGTCAGTTTTTTTTCTGGTCAGTGTTAAAAAGATCAGATTAAAGTCTAATTTGAGTAACAGATCTTCAGACAGAGCAGTGCCTTCAGTTAGCATCACACCACCAGGGAATGTTGATGATATCAGATGAAAACAAAACAAGCAACTTGGGCTGGGAGGCTAGACCAAAAACATAATCACAATTTTATTCCTCATATTAATTATTATTATGAAATCATAATTTACAATTTTCTTTAAAAAAAAAAAATTAACTTTTTTCGGTGGTCCAAAGTTTTTCCTCTGAGCATCATAATTATTCACAGCGATGAGTTTATAAGATCTTTTCACAACTTAAAAAGACGGGTGCAGAGTTCTCGGTGAAGGTTGGTGAAGCTAAAAACAACTAACATGCTAATGCTCAATTCCTGATTGTCAGACATTAAAACGCTTTGACAGAGGATTGGCTTTTAAAAAGACCCAAGCTGATCAGCGACAATTAGAAATGTCAATTTTTGCTAAATATCTCTTCCCAATCTTTACCTCCAGAGTTAACTTGTGTTTTGATTTTTATAGGATCTGATGACTTTCTCTACCAAAGCTGAAGAGGACAGACTGATGGCATCAAGCAAACGGGTACCAGTCTTCTATAAGTGTATCTTTGCCTGTCACTAGTGTTGTCATGATGCTAAGATTTCTAATTTGATTTCAATACTAGTCGACTCAGTACTCAGTACTGTCAATAATTTCGATACCATGATGATAATAAATAAAACACTTCTGTTCTAATACTGTTCAAGATCATCAGCTGTTCAGGGAAGGTTCATTTCTGTTCTGTGAATGTGACTTTTTTTAGTTTGAGTATGTAGTTCTCGATCCTCATTACTCATACTCTTGATACTAGTTTTAGTATCTGTTTTTTCAACTGCCTGTCATAATAACAAATGTTGAAGTGCGATATATATTGTTACAGAGAATGTTACAATAAATTATAATAGTGATTTCAATATTCAGATGCACAGCATAAAATTCACCCATATTAAACACAAGCATTTTTGTTGTTGTTGCTTGAATCCACAACCTCCCATAATGTTAGATGATAAACTTTTACTTGTAATGTATCAGTCATGTACTTTGATGTGAAATGTTGAATGAAATCTTAATTCTGTAATCAATCTCAACAGTTTAGTGACCAACTCTATTTTCATGTTTTATTTTCAGCTTGTGATTGACGACCACGTTGCCATGACTCCATTCCACTTGTTGCTGGGAAAACATGGTCAAACTGAAGCTCAACAGGTCACTGCGGGGTCAGAAAGAGTTCAACCTCCACAAGGCTCCTCTGCCATCAAAGAGGTTTGTAACTATTTTCAGATTGAAATTTAAAGATTTTACCTTTATCTGCAAATATAATAAAGACATGGCATTTTTATTATCAGTCTGTATCAGTTGATTAACAAAAATATTAATGGTGTCATGTTTTTTTTTCTCTCGAATTACGTGAATCACTTTTTTTTTCGTCTTTTCTCTTGGAACTTTGAATATGTTTAATGTAGAAATAAATATTGTGCATGTAATGCAGATACAGTATTTTCCTGATGTCCTCCTTTAGATCTTTTGGTCTTAGTCTTAGTTTTAAATCATGTTGACTCAAGTGAGCATGTATTAATGTTGGTATCATTATTATATCCCTAGGATTTTATTGTAATATTTCACTAGGTGATCAGACTTGCTTTTCTTCAGATGTCCCCCTATGTTTTCAGTTGATATTAAACTAAACTCCTCTACTTTCTCTTAACAGTTGCTGCAGACTCCAGCCCACGTCCTGCCCTCCACCTCGTATCTCTGTTCAATGTTTGTGCAGTCTCTGCTTATCTCCACCACTGACAAAAGGTAACTTAAATCTAAATGTATTTAACTTTCATATCATTTTCCTCATTCCTATTTTATTTGAAATGTAATATATTTGATGCTTGAGATTTAATCAAGTCCAAATATCATGGCATTTTGTAGTGTGATTACCGTATTTTACAGACTATTGAGCACACAAAATTTTAACTACATTTTAAAATTGTACATATATAGGCCGCACCTGAATATATGCTGCATGTGTCCACGTCTTCAAGAACATTTTCAAGTTTGGGCCATCTGCTGTTATTACCTGGTCCCCGAAGGGTTGACCAGGTTTTGTTTTCACCTTGTGTGTCTGTGTGTCTGTCCACCCGCGATAATTCCGCCATTTATGGACCGATTGTCACCAAATTTGGTGCGTGGGTCAAGCCCCCATGCCCGATGCGGCAAAAAAAGTTTGTTGATGATCTGAGGTCATTTGAGGTCACACGGGTCAATTGAAATGTCATGCCATTATAAAGGATAGGCAATTTCTGCAATTTCTGAACCGTCTGCGGGCGAAAACATTCACCCAATCAGCACGCAGTTGCCTTTAACTTAAAAACTACATCATCTGCATTTTTTTCATGTATTTTCCATAAGGAGGGTGTGTGTATGAAGCGCAAAATAACTGTTCAAACAATCAAACGAGTATCTTCCTCGGTGCATCATGTCTCCTGCACAAAGAGCTGTTGTCCTGTCTGTATCAAGTCAGTGTAGGATTTCAGCAGATTTCAGGCTGTCCTAGGGCTAGGCTAATTATGTCAATCAGCTATGAGTGGATGTCCGGCTACTGAAGTTTGAGAAGTTTCTTCTTGTCACTCACACACTCACCTACATTTAATGCATATGGGTAAAAAGTATCCCCCTCACTAATGTTAATTTAGCATCATAACTTATTTTATCACACGCTGATAAAATGTTTTGGTGCGCTGATAACATCGCTAGGAAACGCTGCACCTTCATGTTAACCCATGTTCTATGTTAACCTCACAGACAGCAGCGTTTTCTGCACTCAGGCTGCGCATACCCGCTGTGTTGTGAAACCATAGACCGTATATATATGAATGGACAATGTGCCAAACAAATAATCCGTCCATATATTAGCCGTATCATTGTGTAAACCGCAGGGTTCAAAGCGTCAGAAAAAAGTAGCGGGTTATACTCCGGAAATTATGGTTAAACTAGAAAAGCACTCAGAGAGCGCAGACCTCCGCCAAGGACTACCCCCATTTTTTGTATAAATTGCGATAAAATCAGTCTTCTGGATCAGATCCGGATCAGCCTTTGGAATATGAAAGAGGATCCCACTGTCCATCCCTTAGTCAAATTTCATGGGGTTTGGTCAATAATTAACCGAGATATTGAGAAACAAAATTTTTGGCCCCATTTACCACGTTAACTAAAATTTCTAAGTGATCCAGAATCCAGGATTTCTTTCGGATCACCCCCAAAATGAAATCAGTTCTTCCTTTTCACATTTCCAACAAATCCTGAAAATTTCATCAAAATCGATCCATAACTTTTTGAGTTATGTTGCTAACAGACAAACAAATAAACAAACAGACAAACGCCGGCAAAAACATAACCTCCTTGGTGGAGGTAAACATCATGCTGGAGACTCACTCAATGGTCAAAATGCTACTTATTCTCCATTAAGCTTTTTTCTTCTGATGGCAGAACTAAAATGACTATGTGTAGTTATGTAGTTAACTTTATTTGCTGATGTTGCTGGTAGCTTCTTTTAAAATGCAGTTGAAGATGGTCCTTATCATTTGTGTTTTTGCATTGTCATGAAAACATTGGGCATTATCAAGTTAACATGACGAAGCACTTTTGGTAACAGTGACTTTGTAGATCGGGTCCAAAACAAGCTCACATGTGGGACAATGTGGAGGGTGGGTTAGATTTGCTGTGTCACTGTGGAACATTTCCTGTTATTTTGACCCTTTTCCTGAGAATGACAGCGTAGGCACAAACTGAAAAAAGCTACCATTGTTATAATTTTTCCAAAACAGTGTAAATGGGATGATAGTTGCACAATGGTAAGAGAGGCTCAAATACTGCTCAAGGTACAGCAGTTTATTTGTTTTTGAGCAAGACACACTGCCTATATCATTGTTGCTGCCAAAAAGTTAATTTCCTCTGGACAATAAAGTATTTTTCTATGTATGAATGTGGTGTGTGATAACTTTTTTATTTATATAGTGCTTTTCACAGACATATTGTCACAAAGACACATTATTCAGTCACTTCATACCCGGTGGTGGTAAGCTGCTATTGTAGTCACAGCTGCCCTGGGGCAAACTGACTGAAGCGCTGCTGCCATGCCAATCGGTACCATTGGACACTGATCACCACCATCACTTACGCACACACCACTTTCATACGTGATAGGGATCCAGATTTGCAGTATAGCTTGTGTGAATCTACACCAGAGCAACTATGACTATCTGCAGTTAACGTTGATTTCCCATCCAAAAGGCATCAGTCATGAAACCAAATAGCTGGATCTTTGCTTTTCATTGGTCTGATTACATCAAGTACATTTTAAAAGTGTTTGCTCATAAGGTGAATTATTTTTAGAGCTAATATTTGGACTTCAAATCCTGACAGCTCTATTTTTCACGTGTAAAAATACCTGTAAGTTATAATGGCATTAGTTCATGATGGTATGCTATGGTGAGTGACAAAACCAATTAATTTGATATGAACAATATAACTTGATGAACTATTTGCTGAGCTTCACATTCTTTGGGCTGAAAATGCACTTTCACTTATCAGTTCTACTTGATGCTATCCAATGAGCACGTGTAGCATCTTCCCTTCTAAATCTAACTACTGCTGTGTTTTTTGTTTTGTTTCTCATGAATTTTAGGGAACAAAACAACGTGACAGAGGAGGAAATGGAAAGTGAGAAAGAGGAAGAGGATTCTGATGATGAGGAAATGCAGAGCAGCGCTGTGAGGCCAGAGCACGCCTCAGGGGTCAGCCAGACTGGAGACTCCATGGACCTAAGACTCACTAAGGCTCAGACAAAAGAACTGAGGCGGGTCCGAAAACTAGACTACAGCTGGCTTAGGGATCTAGTGGACTGAAGGACTGGAAAATATGACTTTTCATGACAATAAATACATTACCAGTCAAAAGTTAGGACATACCTTTTCATTTTTTTTATTTTTTTTATATTCACAACTATTTACTTTGTAGATTCTCACTGAAGGAATCAAAACTATGAATGAACTCATATGGACTATACTAAAGGCATTTTAAACTTAAAATAACTCAAACTGTTTTCGTTTATAGATTTTTTTTAAAAAAATAGCCACCCTTTACTTTGATCTTTGCTTTGCACTCTTGGCATTTCTTGACCCTGAGAAGGCACCCATGTGAAATAAAAAAAAAACATTTCAAGAGACTTGAGTGAAGGCCAAGCGTTTGCAATGCCGTCAAAAGCAAAGGGTGGAGACTTTAAGAAATGAATTAATTAAGAAAAAAAATTAAATGACTCAACTACAGAATTCCATACATGTTGATTACATAGTTGAGGTCTTCCGTATGTAGCTAAAATGTAGAAAGTAGTAAACATTAAGAAAAAAAAAGATGTGTCTAAACGTTTGCCTGGTGATGTATTTGTTGATTGTAAACTAAAATACAGTTGGTATTGAACTTCAGACATAAAGATTTGGTCATTTCAGTAGTTCAGCTCAAAGTGACAATGTGTAGATTGAAATAATGTAAGCAGAATTTTTGTCTTGTTTCACGTCATTTCCTTGGGACAATATCCATACCAGCTAGTTCATTTGACTCCTTTATTTCTCTTATGGCTTAAGAATTTCTATGACAATTTAATACCTCTTAAAAACATGAAAAACAGAAGTAGTTCATTTTAAAAGGTTTGCAGTGGTCCAAAGTTATTCCTCACTTACCATATGCATTCTTAGCATTCTAATTATTTATAACAGTGAATTTATAAGCAGTTCAGTGTGGAGTTTTGCCATGATAGCAAAGCAAAATACCACTAGAAAAACATAACTTTCTTTGAATACTTAATTTTGTACAGTAAATCAAGAATTGAACTGCTGAATTTACCACTCTTCTACGCTAAAGGTTCACTATTTAATTTTTCAGCTTAATAATTTGTCTGGAATGATCCACAGTATGGCATTAAACACTACCTATCTCCATGAAAACAAACAATTCACACCACCAAACCAAACAGGTCAGATCTGTGGAGAAGCAAGTCAGTTTACAGTAAGAATGCAAGTTTCTCAGGGAATTTTCGAGCAATAAAAACACCCAAATTGAATAAATGTGTGATGGATAAGATTAATGCCATGCTTGGGAACGTTACGGACTTCATGGAGACAAGCAAGTGGCATACCCTATACCAGGAAAGTTAAATAGTGCTTTTAAGTTACAATGCATTGATTTTGGACAATGGAAAAATCTGCCTTCACAAAGCTTCTGATATTGTGACAGATATTTTCAAAGTATAAACAGTTCTCACATAGAAGGTGACTGGAAACTATTGTTACTCATGTGAAAGAACACTTGAACAAAGCATATGTATTTCCATTGTGAATCTGCTGACATAAAGGGGGGCCGTGTACATACAGAATGTACTTACCGATATGAACTCGAGTACTCTTTGTAGAAGTTTGTTTTGTTTTTTAATAAATATTTTACTATATCACCAAGACTTAAAGTATTTTTACCTGGTCCCCGAAGGGTTGACCAGGTTTTGTATTCACCCTGTGTGTCTTTGTGTCTGTCCACCTGAGAGAATTCCGACATTTATGTACCGATTATCACCAAATTTGGTACGTGGGTCAAGCCCCCGTGTTCGATGCTGCAAAAACAGTTTGGTGACGATCCGAGGTCATCTGAGGTCAGATGGGTCAATTGAAATGTCACGCCATTATAAAGGATAGGCAATTATGGCAATTTCTGAACCATCTGCGGGCTAAAATATTCACTCCATTATCACACAAGTTGGCACACACATAACTGGATGTTATAGGTTGAAACCGGTCAAGGTAACCAAGGTCAAATATGCGTTTTTGGTCATAACTCCGCAAAGGATCAAGCTACAAAAACGGGAGTGGTCTCAAAATCTCAGAAAAAGTAAACACAGACATTCTCATTCTCATGACCAACATCACACCAATGTTCATGGGCACTGTACAGATACACACATTGCATTGTGGATATAATGATCATGTAATATGGGCTGGGTTCCTCATAAGCTGCTTCTGTGGTGATGAACTGCCCCCACCGATGCCTCATGGAGGACCAGGTTACTATCTCTGCGCTTGTTTACTGATTGTTTATGGAAACTACTGTGTGCTACAGGGTTATCTTCTATTCCAAATCAAGCCAAAAATAATCCACTTGACTGACCCTTCATAATCTAATAACTACATCTAAACAAGTAGATTTTAAAGAATGATTCAGCTTGATAACTACTTACAGGATTGGAGTTGGGGTATTAATGAGGTAGTTACTAGGCCTGAATTGTTAATTCTTTACTGAGGCTAAGTAAGATGCGGACATTATAAATATCTTGCATTACATAAGTTTAATTTTGTTAATTTAGCCCATAGTATCCAGTGTTCTTTTTACTTTTTCTGTCAAAGCACCAGTTGCTCCAATTATTTTCTGAAATAATCTGCTATTCAAGACTCAGAACTATAAAATAAAATAAAACAATAATACTATATGTGTATTTATTTAAAACTTGTTTGTTGTGTTCAGCAAGTCAAATACCCTATAAAAAGTAAATCTTTTTTAAACTGAACTTTTAAGCTAAAATCAGATGATCAGATTTTAGGTGTTATAAAGCTATTTAAGAGACATGTAAAAAGTAAACTAACTAAGCTTTCTTTTTGATCATGGTCCCTCTGATTACTCATGTTATAATTTATGGTTTGTAGTCATATAAATAAATTGAAATATCCAGAAATCAGATTATAATCAGGTTTTGGTGTTCACATATAGGTCGGTTATATAGCATTTTATAACTTGAAAATGCTATAACAATACATGCCACAAACTTGATTTCCCAGTGATTTCTTTTCATCCAAAGTCCATATTTCTTTTCTTTTTCTTCTGTATGATGAACCTAGTCAGGGGTCAAGGTTATGAGACCAGTACAGCTTTTGTTGTGTAATTCAGTGAACTTTGACACAGTTACTGCCTGGAAAGACGAATGGGAATTTCGCACATTCTCACAGACGTATTAAAACAACATGAGTTCAATGAGCAAGTAAGCAGTTTATCTGATCTATAGACTTGCATTTTCATTTCCCTATATGTTTAGAGACGGTGTCAAGTGTATAGTCATGTGCTCTATATGTCCCGTCAGTCCTGATGAACAAAGTATGCTCTAAAAAGTATTACTGCTCATGTGTCAAGGCGGGGTAGTATTCAGTTACATTTCCTTGAGTTTACTTGAGAACTTTTTAAAGAAATTGTACTTTTACTCGTCTTCAGTATTTTTAAAAATTGAAATAACAGTACTCTTACTTGAGTAAAAGTTTTTGTTACTCTTCCCACAGTAAGTCTACAAGTGACAAAGTTTTATGTTGAGAATATGAAATATGAACATTTGTGTTTCTTGTTCTCAGATATTCCTTCAGATATGAGAACACTGAAGGTTGCTTACATCAAAATAATGTAATTGGTATGGTATGGTATGGTATGCTTTTTATTTGTATAGGAAAAACGCACAACAAGACAGAAGTCAGGGGAAAGATACTGGTGCCAGGTTATAGCGTCTCTGAGGTGGAAATACTAAAATACACATTCATTGTATATAAATAAAGTGACCAAAAATACATTAAAACTGATATTATTTAGGGTTACAGTGTTTCTCTTAGCATCCTTAGCCATTCTTAGCAGCACCATGAAAAAATCTGAAAAGCAAACAAATATTTGCAAATATGATTAGATTTTCCAAATTTAATAAATTGTATTTTGCAAGAATAGGACAGTGGTGATACTGTTGGGGTTTCTTATCATGAATCTTAACCGCACATTTATACAGTGACTCAACAGGTTTCAAGGCTGTGTTGTGCCTGCGACCAGCTCGTCATGAAGTACAAGAAACATGATATGATTGTGGAGTTAAAATACATGTGCAAGGCCTCCGTGGTCAGTGACCCTCGTATGTCTGAAATTTGAGAGGTTATATTTGAATGAGTTGCAGAGTCTTTTTTTTTTGTGTGTGTGTGTGATTTTTAAAAGTAAATAAGTAAGTCCATTCAGTAACATTCAGTAATAACAATTTGCTCATTTATAAAAAAAATATCTGAGCAATTTGCTAATTTGTGCTTGTTTGTAAAATACATGGCAACTGTCTTATTTAAATCTAACACCAGACAGGAACTCTGAAGCCAGGCAGCCACTTTTCTCGCTTCAGTCTCTTTGCTACCTCACTTGCATTTTTTTCATGGGTGAATACAACATTGTCATCAGCACACATCATTATCTTGACATCACACACTCAGGGGAGGTCATTTATGTATAGACTAAAAAGCAGAGGCCCAAGGATCGAGCCCTGTGGCACCCCTATTGTACAGCTTTGTAGACAGGATAAGGTGTTGTTTGCTCTCACACATGGCCGTCTCCTCCGCAGGTACGATGCAAGCCAGTCTATTTCAGAGTAGTAGTAGTAAAATACAAAATCTCTTTACTGAGAAGTATTTCAACACTTTAGACAAATTTGTTAATCTTAGAGAAAATTATGAAGGTATTACGGTATTTTCAGGTGAACATAGCAAAAAAGTAATACAAATTTAACACTGATTTGAATGGTTACAGTAGCATGGGATTTCAATGAACCTGTAGCAGAGTCTGAAAATGTGAAATCTGAAAATGTGTAACAATGCATATGTCTCTCACTATGACAACTTATCTGAGTTCAGTGACCAAAGACGTAAGTTTATGTATAATCATGCATTTTCATTTCCCTATAAGTTTAGAGAAACTGTAACCACATTGTCATATGGATTATGTAGAAGTAAGCTCTGTTTTTAGTTTATGCCTACGTTATCATGAACACTGCCAAGGCTGTCTACATCAAAATAAGTGAATTTTAAAATGCTTTGGATGATGTTATTCAAGTACAGGATGTAGCATTAGAAATTGTACAATATTAATATAATCAGACGTATAAAAAATAGAAAATTGTGTAGAAAAATCATGGTATTTTCAGTTAGACAGTTGCAATTAAATTAATAAAAGGTATAACATTTAAAGTGTGTTTCAGGGCTTTCATTGAACCTCATGTTTTTGAGGAGGTGACCAGATTCTAATATGGCTTTAAGCTCATTTCTAGACATATTGTTACAAAAGTGGAGTATTTAACTTTCTTTTATCAGCTTTCTAATAACTCAGTAGAGTGTTTCTCTTTATTGAATCAAGCTTATTGTTGTACTGTATGAGATAATATTATTTGCTCATATTAATACTGTGGAAATAGACTAAACATTATATTCATTCATATATATTTGCCCATAAAGTGATCATACATAAAGATTTTTTTTTAAACATATTGTAAGTCATTTCTTGGAATCTTGTCCTAACGGTTGTATCTGTATCCACTGATCTGATCTTGAGGCCTAGCAGTGCTATCTCTACCGCTATCAGTGAAATATGGTTCCACTTCACCTTTGAAATGACTGTAAATGTTAAAAGCTTATAGTACCTGGAAATATACACAACTTTGACCTGTCTAGCTGAGTAAGTAAGTGCAAGTCAGTAGCTAATATCCTTATGCGATCTTTATTAGAAAACCTGGATTGCTGCCAGTGCACTTCACACGTATCTTGAGTCCAGCTTTCCAGAAACTTGAATCAACACATTTTTATAGGTTGAGGGAGTTAAGTTAAGACTATAGTATGTGGTTCTCAACAAAAAGGTATTTGCAAAATAAAATAAAAAAGGGGGATGGGTGAAAATGCAATATAGACCTTTTTTCATAACGTCAACATCACTTCCGGTTAATGCTTCTCTATGGCAAAATATCTGCCGAAATTTCTCACGTATTTTCCACCAGATTCATAAATCTGCCTATCCCATCACCAAAACTTCATTCATCAAGGTCAACAAAGGACATATTCTGTCCATGAAGAATTTATCCACAACTATCAGTGTAAGAAAGACGAAAACTTAAAAGCTAACAACAATTAGCATTAGTGAACTACTGAGCAAAATTAACATTATGGTCATGAAGAAAACATAAGTAACTTCTAGGGATGTCACAATAACCGAAATATCGTGATATCATATTGTCAAAAGTCTCACAATAGTATTGTGGGATGTCACAATATATCCAATCATAAGTTCCTTTGCTTAAATGTGTTGTTTTACAGCCGCAATAGGTAATAAACATTGGGAACTACATATCCCATGATTCATTTCAGCTCAGACAACATGAAGTAAACGTGTGAACAGCTTTTTAACTTGAATTCTTGGGATTATGACAGTAATAATTCACACCAAAATCTTGTCAGGGTATTTTAACAGCAAAACAGTGTCCCATCTACAGTTATATTATATTAGTCTCTCCAAAATATTGTAATAAATATCATAGCATGAGATGCATATCGTGATAATATTGTAGCAAGAGATTTGGATATTGTTACATCCCTAGTTAACTTGTTAACTCAAAAAAATCAATTTCATGATGTAGATATTAGCATAGACAGAGAGATTTGTGCAGTTTAAATGCGACACATGTAATCTGAACATCTGTAGCATTCGATCTGTGAAATCTCTCTGTCTATGCCAATATCTACATTATGAAATCGATTTTTAATTTTAATTGTAGAATCAGTCTGAGTTATTTATTAATGAATTACTTACTTATGTTTTATTCATGACCATAATGCTAATTTTACTCAGGAGTAGTTCACTAAGCTAGTCGTTCTCCTTTATGTTTTTGTCTTTCTTACCTTGATAGCTGTGGATAAATTCTTCATGGACATGTCCTTTGCCGACCTTGTTGGATGAAGATTTGGTGATGGGGCAGATTGATGAAGCTGGTGGAAAATACGGAAGACATTTCCACAGACATTGTGCCATAGAAAACCATTAACCAGAAGTGATGTTTACTCTACATCGGGGCACTTCCAGCCATTGTAAAAAAAGGTCACAAATTTGACTCTTGTGAGCTTAAGGCCATGTTATTACCTCATCACAAACATACCTAGTGTTGTGTTCTGTTTCATTCACACATGTTTGAGTAATCCTTTATACAGGTGCTCTTCAAGGATGACACACTTGAGATGAGGACAAAATGCTCTGTTCCAGCTTGTGATTTCGTACAGTGGTAGTTTTCGAGTTAAGATACGTTTTACATTTTGTTCAGGAGAGATTGGCAATTCAGAATTTGCACAGTAATGCTAACAACTAGCATGCTAACTGATGGAATAGATGCAGAGAGCATGCAACAGACTTATTTTGAGCAGTATATATTATGTATATAAACTGGTGCTAAAAAAGACAAGATACGAATTTGACTCAAATACATAAAAATTGGGGGCAGAGCTTTTAAGACAGCAAAAATCAAATCAGACACGATGAAAAATGTGCTAAGCGGTCTCCCTGTTAAACCCAGGCCTTCAAACATTGGCTTCTGTTTAAAAGACTCTTTGTGTTAAGCCTCTGCAGCTCAAGTCTCAGTCTGTGAGGGAAAAAAGTTTCTTTGCAACAAATTAGCTGCCAAGTTTGTGGTATGTGACCTTGCACTGTGTAGTTTTTCTGGTAGAGGGTTCACGGTCTTTTTTTATTAATCTCCATGGAGATCTTGTTGCTTTGTCTGAAATGTTCCACAGTATGCCACCTATAATCTGCCTTCATTAAGACGGAAGGCAGACACCACCAGCTCAATATACAGGTCAGATCTGTGGAGAGGCAACCCCGCTTACAAATGAAAAGTTACTCCCTCTTTAAAGATACTCTCCACATTTTCATTTGAAGAAAATAAATTATTCAATAGTACTATTGAAAAAGTAGGGACAAAATTTGGGGCTTGATCAAGACAATAATTTCCTCTGTTTTGTGTGTTGTAACAGAGGGAAAATTATAAAGTATATTTAAAATAACCTGTCCCAAAAAAGGTTGACAGTAGGCAAGGCAAATTTATTTATGTAGCACAATTCACACATAAAGTAATTCAAAGTGGTTTACAGAAAAAGAAATACATTAAAATCACAATACAAACATATCAAAACATAAATAATCATCATAAAATTAAAAAGAGAGAGAGAAGCATGCAGAAAGAAAAATGAAAACCTTTCAGTCATCTGCAGAGATAAACAGAAGTGCTTTGAGCCTGGATTTAAACAGCATCAAAGAAGAGTCCTGTCTCACATGTTCAGGAAGACTGTTCCAGGTTTTAGCTGCATGAATCTGAAACTCCCCATGTTTAGTTGGGACTCTGGGCACCAGCAAGAGGCTGGTCCCTGAGCTCCTCAGAGTGTGAGGTGGTTCATGTGGCACTAACATGTGAAAGATGTACTTTGATGCTTGGCCATGGAGAGACATGTTCACAAGTAGAGCTGCTTTAAAGTCTATTCTCTGAATCATAGGAGCCAGTGCAGAGACGTGAGTACAGGACTTATGTGCTTGTACTTCCTAGTTCTTGTCAGGACCCGGGATGCAGCGTTCTGGATGGACTGCAGCTGTCTCACAGCTCATTTGGAGAGGCCAGTGAGAGGCCATTACAATACACAGAGTCTGTCTGCCAAAAGAGTGTTATTACAAAGGAAGTGGTGCTATTTTTAAATCAAGGACAGTGCAATCTCTCATTGGTCCCTGAGTGAAAGGTTTCAAAGTTATGTTCATGGTGTAGATTTTATGAGCTGTGTGTCTCATGAAAATGTTAATGCTGTCTCAAGATTGATCCACAGAATGGCAAGAAACTTGTTTTTCATTTATTATATCCAGAATAAATACTTCAATTCTTTACAAACATGTGTCTGGTAATTCTCCCTGAGTTCAGATGGGCGTGATTGCCAATTGGGGATGTGCATAGTCCATCTGTATTAAAAAAATATGGCTGCTTACGAGGAAAAGAGACTATCAGATATTACAGGGGACTGAAAAAATGAAATGAATGGATTTGTCAGGCAAAATGAACGTGCAGTCAATAACAATTAGAGGCATTCTGAATACATTTCTGTTTTATTCAAGACTTCATGCGTTACAAGCAGTACCAACGGCATCATACAATAAAAGTGGAGTGCGATTACTACAGATATGATTTTGTGTCATTGATTTCTTTTGTTCACCGTAGTAAAATAAACATAATAACACTGAAATACACAGATTAAAGCAGGTACATATGATGCACTCAGACTGGAATCGCTCCAAACTCAAATTTTGTAAATATATAAAAAAAAAACACAAATACAAACATACAATATAGTTTAACATTTTCTATTGACAGACACTTTTAAGTATTTACAAAAAATATTGTTTCCTGAATGACCAACTTTTAAAAGCTGGAACTGTCCATTATAACTTTGATTTAGTATAGTAAGTGAGGATATAGTAGTAGTAGATGTAGTATTGATTGCTAGTTTAAAATGACTTGTTTTATATTGCTCATTATGAAGGAATTACATAGATAGAAGTATATTATAGTGCTTTGTTATTCTTGGATTTTCAAAATAAGTATGGCTTATATGTCTATGGATTTTTATTTTTTTTCACAAAACTGTTGTAACCTTTGAACTTGGTCACGTGTGCGTTGGACAGCTGTGAAGGCATGTTATAAAATAAGGCCTTGAAAAGTACTGAGAAAAAGATATACCAAGAAGCTATGGATTACAGTACAGGAGATACTTATTCTGGCTGGTATTGCTTTATAATGGAAGCTGGGTTGAATTTAGGGTGGGCGATATAGCAACAGAAACTACAGATATAGATTTTTTTTTTTTTTTTTTTAAGAAAAAACGCTAGATTCCAATTAAAGTTTTTTAGGACAACTCATAAACATATATTTTTAACATTGCCTTTAAGTTAAAAATGTATGTAGAGTTGAACAATCTGGCAAAATATCCAACTGTGAATATTCTGACAAGTTTTGCGAGTATTGTGAGTTAGAGTGTGTTTTTATATGGCCCACCCTTAAGTACTATTGACATTTATAAGCTGCATAATCTTTGTAATTGCATGCTTTGATTTGAATATTGCCATTTTCTTCAGCAAGCATTAAAGGGGAGGTATTAACTGTTAACACACAACATATTTAGATCACCATGGTTACCTTTTGTTGGTTTGAAAATGCTATATTCACCGAAAATGACAAGTTGAATTGGTTATGTTTTTGATGAAGGAACAACGTTATAACAGAAAGAAAGCTAGCAGCAGAAAGCTCCAAAAAGTTGATTTAGCATAATACCCCCTCTTTAAGAATCAATACAGAAATTCAAAAGTAAAGTCACAATGATTAACCTAAGTGCAATTACACACATGTTGCTAACTGCTAAATGCTTGAAGTAACAATTAAGAGACCAACCTTTCCAGAAAACATGCACAATCTTTCAATAAACATTACAATACATTTTGTAGGTTAAAATATGTGCCTTTTTAACCAACCCCTCTCAAAATTAAATAAGTCTATATCAAGATCAAGTTTGTGCTACTGGGATAAAGGAGCAAGCCAGGATTGTGCAAAAGTACTGATCAACAATTACTTAAAGTGCCTGTGTAACAATCACGTCTGAAAATCACTCCAAACATTGAAATCAAAGGTCAAAGAGATCACAGTAAACTAAGAGTAAGGTACATTATAAGCAGTATTATGTCGGTATGTAGTAAAATAGATAAATATAACTGGTATAAAACACCTTCTGTGAAAATATGATGTTCATTTGGTCTTTTAAAAGTGTTTTTTTCCGAGTTGAGAAGTTGTTTCTTCCCAAATTATAATATAAAATTAAGTTGATACAAAAATACTAACTGCACTTAAACAATGTAGTTACATTTTTAAGAGAGGGTCCAATGAAAGATAGGACCACAAGGCATGTTTTTTTTTGTTCAAAGCCTCTATTAAAGGAGCACTATGTAACATTTCTGGTGTGTGGGGGGGTCAATTGCCAAAAGCATGGAGTCTTACAGTGAGTGGACTCACCACTCCTGAGAACTAACCTGTAACTTGGCCTAGTGGCATCACCTCTCATCTCCATGAACATAAGTTTAATGCTATACTGCGGAACCTTCCAGACAAATAGATCCCTTATCAGAAAAGTTACATATTGCACCTTTTAAGAGTTCTGTATTTGTAGTTAAAGACATAAATCAGTGTAACGTTTTGGTGTGTGTGTGTGTGTTTTTTTTTCCCAGTTTCTCAACTCCAAAAAACAAACTTCCCGATTTTTCCAAGACCAGAACCGCATGAACACTACTCATTCCTGTCACCTGATGTTTTTAAAAATATACATTTGGAATGCTTAGTTTCCCTCTCGCCCTTTGAATGCCACACATATGGACTTTTAAACTTTGGTAACGGTGCATAGTATGGTCCAAGCACTCACACACAATACTGAACAATAACAAAAACATACTTTCTAACATCACCTGAATAAATACAACTGTCTTATTTATGTGCAGTTTGGAGAGACTAAATCCTAGTTAAATATATGAGAACCGCTACCACTGTAAGTGACTGTTAAAGTTATGTGAAAGCAAAGCACAGCAAGCCACAGAAGCAACAATACAGAAAAGCACTTATGTATGAGTAAGAGTGTAGATAGCACCAACAAGAATTAATTTTAAGATCAAATTATTGCTAATTAAACAATGATAAATATTTACCCACTACTCCACCAAACCATGTAATAATTAGAAAAACATGAAAACCTGTCATATGCACTTTAAAATGAGCAAAGTTTAAACTAAAACTGTATGGATTAACATGAGGGTTGCTTGATTCTAAAATAATTACGATTATTTGTTTTAATTAGTTTTGTCTAATGTTAACCTTTAGTAGATTAGACAAGTGAAATTCATATACTGTGTATGAATTTGCATATAAAGTATATGATGTATATGGTGTTTTTTAGACCCTTGAACAACTTTAGTTCAAACTAGGCACATTTGTAGATTTCTGGCAGAAAACACCCAAATCTGAGTGTGTGTTGCCTTCAGTGGCCTACAATTTCCAGTAGTTGGTGACATCACAAAAGCCTGTCCTGATTACACCCTACCCCCCACCACTCTCTCCTTTAGTCCTCCAGGTACTGTTCCATTTATCTTACCTGGAAAAATCCTGACTCATCACTGTACCAGTGGCTGGTATGCATATGGATCTGTATAACAAATACAGAAAGTGAGATCCTTCTGGGTTTCCAAGTAACCATTTAGCAGCTTGAAATGTGGTTGTGGGTGGAGTTTAGGTGTTTAGTCCTACTGACATTGATTATGTCAGCAATAACTGTAATCGTGATTTAAACTAAATGGAAATTAGTACTAATCTAGGTTTAAATTGTTAAACTTGGTTGGTGCTATCTAGAAATAAAAACTACTCTACCAAGCTGAAGCACCTACTGTAACTATTCGTGAGTTTCACAATGATGAAGATTAGGACCATGGTCATAGTGATTAATAATTTAAATCAAAATCTTTTGAAAGGGAAACAGTCCTGAAAATGTTTCATATGCTGAAAGTGACCCATGAATATTTTTGTTAGCTAGGTGTAGGGTGCATGTCGTGTCTTAAGCCTGATTTTATAACCAAATTGGAAGGCAGGGATATTTGCATGTTTTCTACAAAGCTGCTAAACTAAAAGGCCAAGAAAATCAAGCTAGTAGTAAGTAACATATTGCTTCATCCCTCTCTAACTCATGAAAATAATGACTGGCCACGGTATTCATGAGTTCCAGCTTCCTGTTATATGGTGCCATTTTCTGGACGGTTGACCATTTATAAGATGTAATATTTTGTCTTGAATTGTAAATTGTGGAAAAGGTCCTAACATTTCATCTTTCTGAAACTCAGGGACAGTTAAAAACAATGCTAATTGTTTTACATAAAGTGAATAGTTTAAGTTACGTATCTACCCTACAACAATGCAGGCTGTTAGTTGCAATAGCGAAGTTAGCAAAGCTTGAAGAAATAGGTATATAAAAACAATGTAACTAGAATTGAGTCTCTTTTAATTTTAGACAGTGGCAGCAGTTAGCGAGGACGGATTTTCCACATTTTCAACTTTCTGCTCAGGCGAACAACAGAGGAACAGGCGACTACCAAGACTTTTAAATGCAAACCGGAAGTACATCATGTGACCCATCGCTACGAAGGAGACGGAGATGATGACAAGGAGGCCGAAGGCTTCAGGGTTGGGGGCTAAAATCACCATGATGAAGTGAAGAAGGTCCAGAAGGTAGTTCATGGAGTTTTGAACACCGTTGATAACGCCACGTTCTGATTCCACCACGTTTTCCTGGATAAGCTGAGTCACTGTTAAGTCGAAGGACCACAGGCCTAAAAGGAAAGATAAGAGAAAAACAGTGAATAAATGTCAAACAATAAGGTGGCTGATACTGGTTAATTACAGTCCAAAGCAACCTATAGCCGATAAGCTCCGCTGATATTTTTGGGCTGATATTTAGGGGACGAATTTTATTATTTTCCTCAAATTTTGTAATTTAAATTGACTAAAAACTCACCCGCAGTTCTTTTTTTTTACCTCAAACCAAGAGATCTGTGTGGTCACATTTTGTGCAGTTATCTCCTTATGCTTAATTGCTAAAATAAAGCTTTGTGTATTTTTAGGCAGCAGATTGACCAAACATGAATAGCTGACTGTTACAAATCTGTCACCTTATATTGTTGTAGAGAAAGTTCAAAGCAGTCATTTGTTTTATTAAGGAAGTAAAATTAGCCAAGTCAGGCTGAATATGGAAATTAGAGGCAAGAAAGATGCCAATGTCTCCATAGTGAGTAAATCTACACTATGTAACTGTCTATTAAACTATAAATATAACTGTCACTAAAATAAGATAAACTATGGTTCACTAATACACGGCCATCAAAATAAGTTGAACTGATTGATTATAAAATGTCTCTTACCCATTCTAGCAGCAATGACTCCAGCGAACAGCAGGCTCACAGACAAGTAGGACTGCAGGGGGGGCACTTCCTCTGCAGTCGTGGTCATACTCGCAGCTGTCGTCATGGCAGTAGCATTCACTCTGCTCACCATGCCTGTCAAACTGTGATCGGCTTCAGGCAATGCCTTCTCCCCCACCAGATGTGTGTAGAGATCTTCAAATGGTGAAACTGTCAGATCGAATGGACTCCCAGGTGCAAATACCGACACCACACACAGCACAAGGCAGGACAATTGAGCCACGCCCGAAATGAACCCGGTACGGATCAAACCGCACTTTTTCCGAATCCAGGTGAATGCCACGGTACCACAGATTCCTGATATTGCAGAAGCGCCCATCAGCAAACTCAGCACAGAGCCATTTAAGCCCTGCGTGTAGGCGTATCCTGTGGTGATACAGTCAAACCCGAGGACGGTCATGTAAAGGAAGGCCAGGGACATGCCGGCGAAGAAGATGTTTTGGTTGTAGTAGGAGATCCAGCCGGATTTAAGGGTTCGGAGAGGCTCGGAAACCTGGTAACAGCAGCCGTTTTTCTGTGGAGATTCGGGATTGGTTGCCACGGAATCAGTCATGAGCGGCTGAGAGGACTCTTCTGGGCTCTGACCGTTCTCCAGCTCTGTGAAAGAAAAAAATTGACACTTTAAAATTAGATATTTATCTGACTTAGGATGGGGAATTGCATTGAAGGTGATATTTCTGTGCCTAGAATGTTCCCCAGTATGGCTTTTCATTTTTATATTTGATGGAGACAAGCAGGATGCTATCAGGCCAAGTTACAGATCAATTTGTGAAAATGTCAGCACTCTCATTGTAAGAATGCATGTTTTTCAAGGCACATTTGAGCAATAAAAAAACTGTACTGGTAACTGAAAAAATGTAGGACAGACAAGTTCAGTGTCAAACTGTCTCGAAGTAACAACTGACCCTACTTCACTCTATTGATGTAAATTCAGAAATAGGTAGATAAATATTTTACAGATACAGAAGGAATTTCAATAATGAAAATATAGAATAAAAAATGTTTTATTTAAATAGACAAACTTTGGTAAATTTTGTATATAAATGCAATCAGATGATGACAATCCTAGCATAACAGATGGGTTTATATGCACAAACAGGTGAAAGTAACCCTGTATGTATTTTGTAACAGATCTTTGTGAACATACCTCTGACAGGGCTGAGGTCCTTGAGTTCCTGCTGTTGTGGGTCTTTCTGTCCGGCCTTGATTGCGAGTGCAGGAGTTTTCTGATAGACTTTCCAGAGGAGAGAGTACTCCACACACATGGACACCAGGTTCCACCCCGAGATGAACCCACAGCCGATGAAGTGCGACCCATACGCCATCACCTGCCCCACCAGCATCGGAGCCAGGATATTGGTCAGCTGATCGATGATGCGTACGGTTGCATTCATGTCTGTAAAAACACCAGAAAGATACAGCTGGGTTTCATAATAAACAACATACATTTGTGGTTAAATGAAGTGGGGGTGAGCCAAATTACTGTTCTAAATAATAAATAACAGCATATTTCTGGTTGTGATTATTGCACTGAAAAACATAGACAAATACAGTATGTGTCCTTGCTCTGAGTGGGCTTGCATCTCTAAAAAACTGTTACTTTTACTATTTCAGAAAAATACCTTTGCCATGTATTGAAGAAGGTATTTGTATAAAAAACAAAATTGAGCCGTTATAGTTCATTCCCTTCCCATCTATCCTATACAGAAAGATAAGTAGATTTAGTAATTATCGTGACAGGCTTTCTAAAATGATGTATTCCTTTACTCTATCACATGAATACAGCATCATACCATCATAACATCTTCTAACAAACTCATTTACAGCCCTCTCGCAGTTTAAGTTCATCAGGTTCAGTGGAGTAAAGGAGGTTTAGTATCATGTGAGGAGATCTTTTAAACTGCTTACAACCACTGACTTGAAAGAATTATTGGAACATTACGAGGAGAGAAAAAATGAGTTCTTGAGTCAGCATCCGGAGGTCAAAGTCTGAACACGGAAACAATATGTGATAAACCGATCACGTGAGGCCTACTTTTGATAAGATGAATCTGCTATCGGACTAGTCCTGGTTCAGTCCAGGGTTAGTCCTGGTCTAGACCTGATTTAGTTATATATTAGTGATACTCGTGGTTTTGAGGTCTAGTCTAAACCCACTTGAGTTCTGGTTAAGCTAAAGTACGCCTATGATGCAAGCTGCTAAAAATATTTGCTGTATTGTTAATTATAGAATTATTTGTTTATAGTTCTCAAATCCCAAAATGTAATAAATGAATTGGGGCCAAACGAGTACAAACCTGCTAATTTGCTGCTGTCCTGCCCTGCCACTACCACCACCCAGTCCCTCTGAATGGTGATGGACATGGCTGTGCTAGCAAGGTTAGCGATGTTAGCGATGGTGATGACCAGGATGTAGCAGGTGGTCTGAAAAACAAAAGTAAACCGTTTTTCCTATGATTGTTTACCATTCAAAGTGTATGGTCATAAAACATGATAAGAGAATTCATTCAATTATTCATGTATTTATTTCCACCAGACATTTTAAGTACAGCATGTTGAAGGGCTAAAACTTAACAGCTTACACTAATGGAATAGCTTTTACAGGTATGTGTATATTTTCTTATTAAATTAACTCGATGTAAGTTTAGTTTTTAGTTGTTTTTTAGGTCCACAGTGTTTCTAAAGCAAGAGAGTGAAGTTTAATATCATACTATGCAATATTCAAGGCAAAGCAATAAGATAACAAGAACAAGAAAATGAGAAATCCTCCCCACCCAAATATTAAAATACATAGTGCACCTGTATTTGTTATTTAAATGGTAGTTAATTTTTTAACCAAGAAAGTCAGTGGAATTCACAATATATTTTACAGAGGATCCAGTTGTACGTGTTTTCTGTAGTGAGGGAACCGGTGTAACCTGAGTGGTAACCAATGCGACCTTTGAACCCAACCATCTTGAAATTAGACAGAAGAAGCACTGTGTCACCACACTTAACACTGGAAGTACAAAAATGCTGATACAAAGTATGTAAAATAATAAGGTTCCCATTAGATTGGTGCATATCACATAGCTTTGACAGAGCCTAGTGTTGTCACACTGCTAAAATTTCAAACTTGATTTCGATACTAAGGAATAGACTTGATACTCACCAATTCTGACACCACTATGATAATAAAAAACTCTCTTTATTTAGACTACAGAATGTGACTTTCATTTATATTAACATGTGGTGTTATATCAGTGTAATGCCTAGGTTCCATAGTGGTAAACAGTACACTCGCCTATGTGGTCTTATACTTGTTTGGAAACTATTAATATTATAAGTTTATTCAGGAAAGGTACATTTCTGTCCTGTCAATGTGACTTTTTTAATATTGACACTTGCTCAAATCAGTATTTAGTTTCGATACTAGTTTTAGTAATCAATTTCCAAACTGATAAGGTAGTAAAGCAATTCAAATGATAATATACGTTCTATGTAATACCATTATATATAATATAATGTTAAATTAAATAATGCACCATAACAGCTTTACACACAGTAAATTGAAGTGCTTGTATAACGTTTACCCTCTTGTTCTCTTATAATCCTGTAAATGCTTTTAAACTGGCCTGGCTGGTCCCTCCTTTGCAGCTCATGTGACTTTGGTGCTGCTGACCATCTCCAGTTTCACTATAATCTCTCAAATCTACACTCACTCACTTTCAAAACTTTCACCTTTATTACTCTATCAGCTCAGATCAAACGTGCATCTTGAGTTAAGTCTCAGACTGAGAAACTAAATTAAAGGGTGAACATTTCAGTGTTTACTATTTTATAATTTACAAAAATATCATTTCAAAAATGGTTATGGCTATAACTTTCTGTGTCTTCTTCTAAATCTTGACTTGTACAAATCAAGGACTGAGAAAAGAAGAGTGCATTCACACACTGGTTTGGTCCTGATTTGAGCCTAGTTTAAGCCCGATGTAGACTTGATTTGGTCCTGTTCTAGTCTTAAGTTCCACTGTAATGTTTGCGCAAGTGTGAATGCACCCTTTACTAACAGATAAACATTTTAAAATAGTGTTTTATATAAAATTTTACTACTTTAAAATATAGGACAAAACATGGAAGCCAAATAAAATATTATTAAAGATATATTGCATTAAAAGATAATGAAGCTATTTTAAAGCTACTCATTTTGGTAATTGCCACAATTAAGTCATCTGAACCATTCATCATATGTTGATTGTTTTACTGGCATATCAAAGTTCTATAAAGTAGCAATAAAATTACAACAAGCTTTTCAAATTTTAACTTTCAACTGAGACTTGATTTGGCAAAGGTTTGTTCAAATAACTTGGACTTATTCTGTAAAGTTAGCAGAATGTCCGTTGTTCCCTATGCCCTCGAAATGTAGTAGGATTCTTACAATACAGAAAGCCTATTGTGTTTCACCCAGTTTGCTCCTTCGCAACCTACACGGCCTGAATGTAAATATATGGAGTATTTATTTAGCCCTTAGGGCTGGTCAGTGGCAGATTACAATTTGAAGACGCATAGTTCAACAAGTGTAAACAAGCCCATGAAGCACAACAATGTTAAGACAAGTTGGCTAACTTAATCCTGCTTTGGTCCTGCTTTAGTCCAGGTATAGACTTGGTTTGGTCCTGTTCTAGTCCAGGTTTAGTTCTCAGTAGGGCAAGAACAATTAATTCTAATAACTGTGACTAATCAACTATTCATATATTTGTAATTCTATCTTTGATCATTGATACCTGGAGTATACAGAAAAGTACGTACCAAAGGACCTTTTATAAGAAAGACAGCCACATTTTAAAGCAAAAATTTATATAAAAAAAAAAAAAAAAAGAATAAAAAATTTCTAATTTTCATCAGTGATATACTTTATCTGTAAATATATCTAGAAGCTTAAGTCAGCATTTCCACCCTTATTTGGTTAAAATATATCTAAATTTAAATCAAGTCGACTAAAATAATTTTTAGCAGTGTTGTCACAATAAAAAAAAATAAAAAATTAATTTCAATACTAAAGAATTATATTTGTGTGGTGATGTTTATGTGATTTTTTTTTTTCAGTATTAATACTTGCTTAAATAAGTATCTAGTTTTGATACTGGTTTTAGCATTGATTAATATCTAATTTTCAATATTTTTGATAACCTAATTATTAGTTGCAGGCCTGCAGCCCTAGTAAAATTTTGGTTTAGTCCCAGTTTAGTGTAGTCTTGCACAGCAAGATGGATTCTTGTGATATTTGTGAGTTCACAAACTGATGAGAATCCATCTTAGTATGCGCCCACTGATGCAATAGGGCACGACAAGTGGTTGGCGAACAATCATAGAGCAGCACTAACTTTTGCATGGAAACCAAAGCCTATTTTAGTGTCAATACTATGACACTATGTTGTTAGTGAAAAACGAGTGGAAGGTAAGAGCTTTGTGCATTTGTGGACAGGGAAGATATCTGTGCTTCTGTCTCAATTGGATGTAACCGAAGTTAGATTTTTCATCTCATTCCACTTGAACCAATCAGATTCACATAGTGAAGCGTGAGCCAGGTTAAGTATAGTGCCAGTTTTCATGTGTTGTACAAGACAAGTATGCACTCGCCCTTTACACAACTGTTAATCCTGGTAACAAATCATTGCATCAACAACTTCCTAGTCTAAAATTGTCCAC